TTTGATGAAGGGTTAGTAAACTATGGCACACTGAATGTACCTGCCTTACCACCTAGTTTTGTACATAATGTGTTACTGAAACGCATCCATACCTGTGCATTTCAATATGGATCATGGCTGCATTTAGTGCTAAAATGGTCGAAATGAACACAGGAGACAGAAACTGAACAGCCCACAGAATCTAAAATACTTATTATGTGGTCATTTAAAGAAACATTTGCTGAACTATTTTTCTAAGTGTGTGGTTGTGCCAAGGAACAAATGATGAAGTACCTAGAAGAAGAGAGGTAAAGCTGAAGGTTGTCGGGTTTTTTTGTTGCTGTTGTTGTTGTTTTCAATTTTACAGAGATGGGGAAGACCCTCTAAGGGAGCTGTCAATATATAGGGAGGAAGTGAAACACTGCAGAGAGGCTCACTAGTGATGTGGAATTGCAGGCTGCTGTTTCACCTGGGATGCATATGATAAATTCACAGCAGGAGCAGGTGAGGGAAAATAAGAGACGCTGAACCCACTCTCTGTACATTACACAAAATGAGGCTAAATACAGAGGGGGATATTTTGACAAGTTATTTGGACTCTGTGGGCCATAGTTTCATCCCAGTAAAGTAATTATTTTTCTGGAATGATGCAATCAAGAATTGTGCATCATTCAGCAACTATAAAATGTAATTGAAATATTTTATGGTAATACAACTTTTTTGACACAAAGATGCTGTAAGAATTAAAAGGTAGATACTTTCATATTGCCTAAAAGGTGAAAAGCTAGTGCTGGTATTAGGTTTACTAGATACCATCTTTATAGAAAAGTAGGCACCATGTACAGTGAACATATGAATCACACACAATTGCACAAAACCTACACAGGTGGGTTTAAAATGTCTTCTGAAAAACAAAGAGTGGAAGGGGACCTGCACCCCTGGCCCAGCACACAGGAGGTAGCACAGATCCCCAGCTAAGCTCTCCAGGCCCCGCTTAGTCATCAGTAACCTCCAGACTCACCAATAAGAACCCTGAATCCCTCTGTGTAGAAGGTAGCACAAGTGCTATAAGGTGCAATTTGGCACCAGCAACTCCAAGACCAGTTGTAAGACCCCTGGTCCAGTGCAAGAGCAGAGCCCTGCCTGGTGAAAGCCCCACCCGCAGCAGTGTGGCACTGAAAGCAAACAATGAGGAGATAGAAAAACACAACAAATAGTCACAAGCATACTCTGGGAATACTACACCAAGGAAAGAAAACAAATCTAAAGAACCCAATCACAAAGACATGGATGAGCTAGCCTGCTTATCAGATACAGAATTTAAGCTTGACACAATAAAAAAGTTTGAAGAACACAGAAAACATATAGGAAAGTAGATCAAAGGTAGATAAGAAAATTCAGAAAAAAAACAAGTGAGGAAATCAATGAAGAGAAGATTAAAAATTACACTCTGGGTCCTCCCTAGTGGTGCAACTGGTTAAGGATGCAGCACTGCAAGCTAGTCACAGCCGTCTTCAGTACAGGTTCCATCCCCAGCTCCAGAGGTGATCCACATGGTCCAGCGACCTCTCCTGACCAGCCCGCTGCTCCCTCAGCAGTCTGCCTTTCTGCTCTCTACTCTGTCTCTGATGAGTCCTCTTACCACCCATGCACCTCTGTCCTGTACCCCAGTTCTGTATGCATAAATAAATAAATCTTTAAAAAAAATTATACTCTAAGAATATAACAATAACAATTGCAGTACATTAAAAAGGTCAACAGAAGAATTGAAAAATACTGCAGAAAGCTAGGGAAATAGAATAAACTAAATGGAAGAGAGAATCAGTGAACCTGAAGATAACAATATACAAAGGTAAAAGGAAAAAACAAATTAAAAAAGAAAAGATACATTTCAAGAATTGTCTGGCTCTACAAGACAGGAAATAAGAATAAAGGATATCACAGAGGAATAAGAGAGAAAGAAACAGAGAACTTATATGAAGTAGTTAATGGAGGACCTTCCCTGGTGGTGCAACAGGTGAAAGGACAGAACTATGAAGCTGGCCACAGCCACTGCAGCACAAGTTGGATCCCTAGCCAGGGAGGTGGCCCACATGGTGCAGCAGACCTTTCCTGTCTCGCCAGCTGCTCCCCTCAGCAGTGTATTTTGTTAATCTGCCTGTTCTGCTCCCCACTTTGTCTCTTGTGAGTCCTTTCACCCCACCAGCACCGCTGGCCTGTACCCAGTTCTGTAGGTATATATAAAAAACATCAAATTTTTTTTTAAATGAAGTAATAATAGAAGAAAAAATCCTGAATTTGGATTAAGAAATAAATACATAGAAACATGAGACTAAAAGAACAGCTAGGGACCTAAACAAAACAAGACATACACCAAGATCTAAAATATTGAAACTTGTAAGAGTTTAAGACAAAGAATATTGAAGCCAATGAGGGGAAAGAGACGGATAACCTATAAAGGAAACCTAATTTAGGCTAACATCAGATCTTTGAAGAAACACTGCAGACAAGGAGAGAATAGGATTATATAATTGAAAAACTCAAAAACATGTCAACTAGGAAAACTCTATCCTGACAGGCTCTCCTCCAGATATGAAGAGGTCCTCAGACAAACAGAAAATGAAGAAGTTAGCAAAGACGAGACCTTAACACATTCAAAAATTATTAAAAAGGAGCTCCAGAAACTGAGCCAAAGAGAGGAACAACCATAAAGAATGGAACAAGGAAATAGAACAATAAAATTAAGGACAAATGGTAGCAACAGATATTCATGTTATCAATACCAATCTAAATGTTAGTAGACTAAATACACCAATTGAAAGACACAGCATCTGCTTGGATTAGGAAACAGAAGCCAACTTTCTGGTGTCTCCAGAAGACACACCTGAGCTACAAAGATAAACAGAGACTCAACGTAAAAAATCAGAGAACAATCCTAAAAGCATAGGTGACACAAAGGAAGGTGCGGACAGTCATACTTGTTGCAGACAAAATAAATTTTCAGTTAAAAGAAAAAGGTAATGGGCCCTCCCTGGTGGCGCAGTGGGTTAAAGCACAGCACTGAGACGCTAAAGCCACTGCCGCATGAGTTCGATCCCCGCCTGCCCCGGAGGAGATCCACATGGCATGGCAGACCTCTCCTGACCCACCCTTCTGCTCCCCTCAGGAGTGCACTTTGTCGATCTGCCTGTTCTGCTCCCCACTCTGTCTCTGGTGAATCCTCTCACCCTCTGCATCTCTGGCCTGCACCCCAGTTCCATATGAATAAATAAATCTTAAAAAAAAAAAAGAAAAAAAAAAAGGTGATGAGATGGGGATGGACACTATATAATAATAAAGGGAGGACACAACACTCATCGAAGTATACATGCCAAATGAAGGAGCACCAAAATATATTTGTCAACTACTATCAACTCTGAAAACAAACAATGGGATAAACACCTTGGTGGTGGGAGACTGCCATACCTCACTCTCACCAATGGTTAAAGAGAAAATGATTAGGGACACAATAATCCCAAATAAAGAAGAGAACCTAACAGACATCAATAGGGCCCTGTACCCTACAAAAACACAATACACAGTTTTCTCAAATGTACATGTGACATGCTAGAGGGCTAAATGTATACTGGGTTGCCAGACAAGTAACAATGACTGATATCCTACCAACCTCCTCATCTGACTATATAGAAATCAAGTACAAAAAGAAAGCAGAGAAATCCTTTAACAAGAAGACACTGAACAACACAACACAGAAAGACTACTGGGTTAAAGAGGAAATCTAAGAAATAAAAAAATACCTTGAGAAAAATGACAATAAAGGCACAACTGTACAGAAGTTATGGGATATGGTAAAAACAATATTAAGAGGAAGAATACAGGCCACATCAAGAAGCAAGACAAGAGCTAAAATAATATTTTCATTTATCTCGAAGAACCAGAAAAAGAACAAATCCAAAAGTTAACAGAAGTAATTTTAGACTTTGCCATTTAGTAATATATAGCCAAGGAAATGCCTTTAATGTCTTAATCTGTAACACAAAAGATATCAACACCTTGTAGGATTATCATAAAAATTAAATGAAGTAACCATCTTATGTGTTACTGGCACTCATTAAATAACCACGAAATGTCATGCCTCTAGTAAAATCCATTTACTACTGCTCAGCCACAGTAATTTTTCCAAAGCAGAAAAACTGATCTTCTAAGTTCAGAACTTTAAATATTTCAATGGTTCTCATTTGCTCCAGGAAGAATGAGCAAACTCTTGATAATAAGCCCGGGATGGCCTGGTGCTTACCATCCTCTATTTTATTCTCCTGTGCTGCAAACCTTCTTTATGGCTTCAGAAAATATAATCCTTCTCAACTCAAAGCCTTCAAACAGGGTGAAAGCTTCTTCCTCCTTACAGATCTTACCTGCCTAGTTAACTTCTCCTAACTTTTTTTGCAAAAAACTTTTCACCTACTGACTGGGTTGGGGCATCTGACAATGCTCCCTTTACCTCTGTGTCTGCTTTGTAATGGGATTTGTGCTGATTTACACTGTTTCTTGCACAGTAAGAGGTTAAAAAAAATTTTTTTTTCCTTTTTTGATTATTAGTAAATTCACAGGACTCAACATCAAGCACAATGCCTGACCCATTTTATAAGCTTAAAACTTTAACTAACTAAATATACCCAAGTTCAGAAGATTGGTTAAGTGCTAGTTATTGATCTGGACAGTACTTCTCTGAAGCACTTAACCACATTCTATGAACTGTGCTTATTATTTAATTTTTCCTTTCCTTGTTGAATTTTTAGTTTTCTATATATAGTATCTGATGTTTATTGCCTCCATAAGAGATTCAGAGATGTGCCATGATGGAAAAATAGCATGAAATGGAGAGTGTTAAGTAACCTGAACAGAAACAGAGAAATATGTGAAACTCTTATTTTGAAAACAGGTTTCATAAGAATTCCTTCTCAGAGGCATTTAAATTGTATTTCTCTTTGTTGGGAAGGACCTCACAAGACAATACTTACTTGTTCCCATGAAGAAATCATATGACGTTCAGCAGGTGCTTTTTCTTCTATGGTCACCTCTGTCACACCTGGGGAAGATTCTGGAGACAGAAAAAAGAATATATGTAGAGTTGTAATTGGCCCACTCTTACACATTTCTACACTTGACATTAACAATCTGTTCATTATTTCTCTAATAAAAGCAAGAAAGAACCAAACAGCTTCTCAAAGGCACTCTCCTAACCTAGAACCATGCAATCTGGCTGGTAGAAAGAACATCATCGGAATGTGCCCTACACTCATCATTCTGCTTGCTAAACAAAGGTCAAAGATTCTGGATTTCTGTGAGTTCACATATTCTTATGATTCTTGACAAGAAATAATAGTAGTACTTCAATGACTTTTATAAGACATAAAACCTGTTTGCCAGTTTTTCTTCAAAATAAAACCCTTCTATTCTTTGAGTATTAGGATTTAGGACTTAATAAAAGATCTGAAAAATATATTGAGAACAAATTAAGTCATTCAAAATCTTCAAAGCAGGAAAAGGTCTCCAAATAATCTCATCTCACCAGCTCTACACTGATGTAAAAGAGAAGCCACCTAAGTGGGAACACAAAGAATTTTAATACTTCTTCCCACATTCTCCACTTGTCTGTGTTCACCAAATCAAGATCTTGAAGTCCTTAATGTAAGACATAAAATATATGTTAAATTCCCAGAACCTCATAAAATAACCTGTGATTCAGATGCAATTAGTTAAGATTAAGTCATACTCAAATGTCAGCCAAGAATACTTACCTTGCAAAGCTCTCCTTTCTATATGAAGGAATAATAAGGATCTCTTCGGACAAACAAAACCTTTGGAAACTTCCTACAACTAAACCCCCACTCAAGTAATATTACAAGATGCCTTGCTATCTTGTAATGGAGGAATGATCACAACAGAAAACTGAACAAGGAATTAAATATAACCACAAAAAGATGAACAAAGAATAGTAATAGAATTCCACATCAATGATTACCCTAAACATTACTGAACTAAATTCACCAATAAAAAGACACAGTGTAGCATGTTGGGTTAGAAAAGAGAATCCAGCCCTCTACTGCCTCTGGGAAACAAACCTAAATTTCAGAGTTAAACAGATTAAAAGTAAAGAGCTGAAAACAATTTTACAAGCAAATGGCACCCCAAAGAATGCAGGGACAGCTGTTTTTTATCAGCTAAAATAAACTTTTAACTAAAAAAAGGAGACAAGAAATGTAGATGGACACTACACAGGGAGCAGCAAAGGAAGCACCAAGATGGCATAACACTCATCAATACAGACTCCGAATGTGAGAACCAAAATACATTAGAAAACTGCCAAACCCACTGCTAAATCATTCTCAAAAGTGAAAAACTGAAAGCCTTTCCACTAAAATGGAACAAGACAAGGATGTCCACTGTCACCACTCCTTTTCAATGTAACACTGGAATTCCTAGCTAGAGTAATGAGGTAAGAGAAAGACAGAAGAGGAGGTAGGTGGGCTGCACAGAAAAAACAAAGCCAACCCAAAGTTAACATCTTTAGAATGACCTGCTGAGGACTGACGCCTGGGACGGTGGCCTTTGGATGTGCTTCATATTTATTAGGATGCTTGGTCTACCTTTGCACTGAACCACTAAATACCTTAACACACTATCTTTTAAGCCTAAAATCTTTATAGCAATGGCAAGTTGTTCTCCCTATGTGACTAGACCCAAATAAAACCCCTGTATTTGAGTCTTAAACAGGCTTTCCTGGGAAGAAACACTTCACACATAATTACATTTCACTACTTAAAAAATAAAATTTTACGTGACCACTCTGAGAAGTGAAAACTTCAGAAGATTATGCATGAATGCTTCAAGACTCCAACTGTCATGTCTTTGCTCTTGTTAACTGCCATAATAAACTTTGGCTGGGACATCTGTGAGTTCTACTGAATCACTGAATGTATGGGTGTTGTGGATAACCAGAAACACAATCCCTTTATTTTTAGCATTTTTAATAAATTTGCTTTAGGTAGATTTTTGGAAACAAAAAATAGTTGATTTTGTGATCTAGATTTAAAATCTTTTTCTATTAAAAGATAAACTCATGCCATTCACAACAGCATGGATGGAGTTAGAAGGGATCATGCTCAATGAAAGAAGCCAGAAGGAGAAAAGAAAAGTATCAGATGTTTTCACTGATAGGAGGAATACAGGAGAATCAAATAAGGATTGAGGAAAAAAATTAAGAAAAATCAAAGCTAGCAAGCAACCATAAATCAGAGACATCCTGCAAGGGAGGAGGAGGAAAAAGGATCAAAACAGGGGAGAGAAGAGCACAAGGGATTTTTATGGGGGATATACAATGATGTAAAATATATAACTAAAAATAGATTAAGAAGTTATAAAAAATCTTTTTCTATTAATTGATGGTTCATATTTGTTGGTATGAGATTATATTTGGTATCATCAATTTATGTGTGTGATCACATTACACTTAATGTTTCTTTTTGAAATGTGCAACATTTGCTCTTTAAAATGTGGAAGGTGTTTTCTATTATTACATGAATAATCATAAATTAACAGCTTTAAGTAACATTCAATTTAGGTCAGAGTTCTGTAGTTCAGAAGTCTGGAACAGCATGAGGATTCTCTGCTGATGTTAAAATCACCGCTCTAGGCTCTCCCTGGTGGCGCAGCGGGTTAAAGCAAAGCACTGAGAATCTAAAGCCGCTTCCGCATGAGTTCGATTCCCGCCTGCCCCGGAGGTGGCCACATGGTGTGGCAGACCTCTCCTGACCAGCCCGCTGCTCCCCTCAGCAGTGTACTTCGTCGATCTGCCTGTTCTACTCCCCACTCTGTCTCTGGTGAAGCCTCTCGCCACCCCTGAGCCTCTGGCCTGTACCCCAGTTCTGTATGCACAAATAAATAAATCTTTAAAAAAAAAAATCACCGCTCTATAGTCCTATTTTTACGTCAGATGGAACAGGTGACTTTTTTCATTCAAAGTTCAGGTTATCTACCAAGATAATTTCTGTAGTGAGTGAGCAGAATCCCTTAGGGTTGTAGAAATGAAATCTCCATTCTTTGCTTGCTGCGAGAGGGGGTCACTTTCAGCTTCCAGAAGCCACTTCTAGTCCTCCTCAAGTGTTCCCATCCATCTTCAAGCCAGCAACAGCATAACAAATCCTTTCATTGCTTCGGGCTCTTCAACTTCCTCTTCTATTAACAGCTTCTTTTAAGGCACTTACATGATTAGATCAGGCTCACCCGGAAAATCTCCCTTTTGTCATCTAATAAAACATCTTCACAGGGGTGACATCTCGTAAGTTTCATTCATTGTCTTGAGGATTAGGATAGGAAACCTTGGAGGGCTGCTTTTAGAGTTCCTTTTTAAAAAGTACCTTTGAGATTCAGTTCACACAGTCTGAAGTTCACCCCTTTAATGTACAGTTGGTGTTTTTTAATATATTCAGTATTATGTACCTGTACCCCCACAAAGTGACGCACACCTATCACGGTCACTTCCCATTGCCTACTCCCCTTCCCCAGCACTACTACTGCTTTCAGTCTCTATCGATTTGTCTATTCTAGACATTTCATGTAAGTGAAATCATACATGTGGTCTTTGTAACTGATTTCTTTCATCGAGTTGTCAAGGTTCATCCCTACCATAGCATGTATCAGTACTTCTAACTAAATAATTTCTTTTTCTAACTAAATAATTTCTATTATATACCACATTTTGTATATACATTCTTTAAATGATAAATATTTGGAATGTTCAATTTTGACTGCTGCTATGATGAACCTAACCACATATACATATTAACATACACATGTAAAGCAACATCTCAATACAAGTAATTTAAAAATAAATTGAGGTTTTGGTGAAATTAATAAACATTTCAGAATGTTTATGAAAGCTAGTTTCACTCTAATTGATTATAGACTTGCTTAATTCCTTAGTAGCCTTCGGCTTATAGGGTTGGGCTATCAGTTTGCCTGGTATCTGAAATAATAGGTATGTTAAACGTATAAATAAAATTTTAAGTTACAGTTTTTTAATTGTTTAGGTCTGCAGTGGAAGGACAGGCAGATGGACATAGAAGAGTCCTGGAGCCCTCAGTGGCTTTTCACTCTTTAGTGTTCTTTCTACGCCAAGTGCTGTGGGTCAAGCAGGCAGGCTGCGAGGCAGGCAGGCAGGCGGCAGGCCTGGAGGCTGGCGGTCCTCCCAGCCCTAGGAGAGTCTTTACTCATTCTCTTCAGGCTCTCTGCGCCACTGCTGGTTTCTTCCTCACAGCCATCACTTGTCTTCTTGTAGCCATTGGGCCTGTAGCCATTTTTGTCTGAGTGACACCGCGCTTACAGCCTCAGGCCCAGGTGTGCACACACTTCCGCACGTGCACACCATATCCCAGGTGTCCACCATCAGGCACGCGTGCCCGGTCCACACTCCCAACTGCCTCCTGTATTGGCATAATTAAGGCTGCAGGCGATAGCCACAGAGGCCAGTGGTGTAAAAGCCTGATCAATTTACTTACCCTACCAGGTCTTTATATCAGAGTAAGAGAAATTTGGTTGGCTGGAGTAGACTAAATACTTAACCAAAAAAAAAAAAAAAATTAACTTATTTACAGAAAAATCAAGTTTATATAGGGCATAATGAAGCACGCCTACCTGTGGAACAACAGCAATATCTGCTTGACTAAATTTGTAAATATAACAGGGCAGAAGTTTGGATAAAAATGAGGAGTTAGGTTACAGCTGGTCTTGATGATAGCTCGCTCCCTGACTCTTTAACTACATTTCTAAAACTTTTATGTTCCCAAACACATCATGGTTTCATGGATCACTTACTGTTTTGGAACAGGGGAACACAGTAAGTCCTTAACATCATATATATGTTCTTGGAAACTGTGATTTTCAGCAAAATGACATGTAAGGAAACCAATTTTACCATAGGCTATTTGATACCAACAAGAGCTAAGTTCCTATGGCACATTTCTGATAACAGAAACATTACTAAACATCTGAATAGAGTAAAAAAATGTCTCTATTACTAAAGAGTTATTTGTATTCATTCTCCAATATCCCCAGTCCAGTTCAGAGTCACAGGTGGCAGATCATATCCCAACAGCTCAGGGAACATGGTGGGATCCAAACTAGACAGGCCACACTTCCATCACAGGAAACACACACAACATTTCCCCCCAGCCCCACCAACTCACTGTGACCAAAACAATTTACACCCACCTGCGAACCCTATATTAGCACCTCTTTGCAATGTGGGAGGAAACCAGAGGAGCCAACTCCACACAGAAGTGGCTCCAGCTGAGAATCAGCCCCCTCTCCCGCCCCCCCCCCATCAACATTATCACCAAGTGATGTTGAACTGAAGGACTAAACAGCATTACTGAAGGACTTAGTGGAGGCCCTGCTGATCAGGGGAGTGCAACAAACTTCTTATACTCACAGACATCGATGACAGAAAAGAGATAATTTTTAAAAATAGGCAAATAAATATGTAATTTCAAGTAGTGATGAATGCCACGAGGATAAAATGTACGATAAGGTGAGGGAGATGATAAAGATGTTATTAGAATTATATTCAGAAAGGTTTATGTAAGGTCATATTAAAGCACATATTTTAATGATATGCTGGAAAGACATTCAGAGAAAGATAATTTCAGGATGGGGGTTCTTAGCAAATTGCAAAGGTCTTAACGAAGGAACTTAGTGTATTTATGGTACAATAAGAAGGTCACAGTGGCTGAAGCAGAGTGAAAAGTAAGGTCCGATGGATGACCGTCCGACAAGGGAGTTGTGGGTAGTGCTTCAGAATCTGGATTTCATTATGTGATGGGAAAGTAGGGGTGCCCCTGCCACCAGCCTGCTTAGACAGCCCTTCTTCCTGGCTTAATCTACCATCCTCTCCCGTGGAAAATGCTCCTCAAATCTCTAGATAAGGTCAATCACTTCCTCCTGTGTGCTGTATCTGAACAATAAACGATTAGTGACTGAGCCCTTGCACTTTTTAGAGTCCGTTGATTTTTTTTTTCTTCTCCTTGGAATTGTGTTTTTTTTTTAATCTTTGCAGCCCTGCAGTCTAACATAGCGGTGGATGCTAAACAAAAGGTTCCATAAAGGACAAATACTATTCTCCATTCAGGTCACAAGCCCCTTAACCACTTCGGAGGGTACTCGGAGGCGCAGGGGACAGCCCTAGCAGGCTGGACGGCTGCAGCTTTCACCTGGATGCTCTCTCCGCTACCAGAGGAAGGGCTTGAATTTCAAGGCTACAGCCTTGGTCACGAGAACGTCTCTGGGGAGACGACCCAATCTGCCAAGTGTCAGGGGTCGGCTGTCACCCCTTTGTACGTTTTATCCGTCTTTCCAGAGCAAAGCCTCCCAACACTCCCGGCCTATTCACACCCGGCTCCCCCTCTTCCCTCCACAGCAACGGAAGCGCTAATAGCGGTGCCCCCCGGCAGACCAGGCTCGGCGTCCAGTCGCCCCTCCCGGCTTCTAGTGCACACCCCTTGGGCCCGCAGTCGCCCCACGCAACGGGGCCCCGCCCCACTCACCGAGGATGTGGGTGATCCCGAGGGTCAGCTTCTCCAGGTGCGGCTTGCTGCTACCCTGCTGCGGGGGCTGCGTGTCCTCCATGGCTCGCGTCCCAGCTCCGCGCGCGGCCAGTGCAGCGCCGGGGAGCCGGCGGGAGCGCCAGGCGGGAGGGCGGGCTGGATGCCGCCGCACAGCCAGGGCCGTCAGGTTCACGGCATGCCGGGAGTTGTAGTGCTCGGCGCCTGAGACCTCCGCGGCGCAGAGATGCGGGGCCCGGGCAGGTCTGGGAGCAGTAGTTCCGCTGGGCGCCCCTTTCCGCGGCCGCGGCGAGCGCTCCACCCCACGCCGCGGGTACACAGCGACTCCTCAGCCCGGACCGCCCCACCCCGCCGGGGCCGGCCGCTCAGGCGTGGGCGGACCTCGGCGTCGTGCGGCCAATGGGCACTGGGCCTGGAGACTGGGGCGGAGCCGTCGCGGTGCTGCGCCCCGAGTGGCGGTTGTTTCAAGATGGCGGACGTGGCGGGCCCCTCCCGCCCCGGCGCCGCGGCGTTCTGGACCCGGGACTGTATCCTTTGCGGGTCTGGCAGGGGGCGCCGGCGCCCCCCCGGGTGCTGCGGGGGGTCGCGTGGGTCTCAGAGTGGAGGGGTAAAGCTCGGTACGAGTCCGGGGGCTGGACCGCCTGTCCCGTCGCGACCCAGGTGCTGGGAATTGGATGGCGAGCCAGCCAGTTACTAGTCCTGTTTGGATCTCCAGGGGTGGGGCTCAGCATAGACGTTTCCCAGCCCTCGCGGTCCCTGAGATCTGAAAGATGGCCTAGAATTGTGGCCCTTCTGGGACTCTGAGGGCCACCCGTGGTCACCTTGGGGTCACTGTGTCTGTGCGTAGTGAGCTTGTGCAGGAGAAGCGAAGCGGGTTGGTTGTGTGCACCGGGGTTTTTTCCCGTTTCAGCGGGACCGGGTTCCTGTTTTGATTTAGCAGTGTCAGGACCTTGTGGAACTTCGAAGGCTTGTCAATGAGAATCGATTTTCATCTTGGGATTTTAGAAGAGGTGTGGGTGTTGTTATCCTGGGACATGAGCTGGTGGGGCTGGTTATTGATTAAGATCAGAATCTTCCTGCTGGGAAGTATTGAATTAAGATACAGATTATGGGTGTCCACTGGCAAGATTGACATTCTTGGATTGTTTGGAGGTGGAGCAGCTGTGGAACTTTTGCCCATGCTGTATTCGTTGATTCATTATCGATGATAAGATGTCAAGTGGGTTTCCCGAGTTTGGTAAACTGTTCTAACCTGATCTTTGGTCCTTATGATTTACAGTTTGTTAGTTGGGGGAAGCAATTATTGTTGGGTGCCAGCTGAGGCTAGTTTTTTTTTGTCTGTTTAGTGGGATTGGTGACAGCAGTGTTAGAAGCAGAATCATGTAGTACATTCTACTATACTCCCTTTGAAACTTACATTTTCCTTAATGAGTTATTGGAATTGAAGTGTCATGATTTGGAGAGAGATATTTTTGCACTTCGTGCTGCTCAGTATTTGCCTTAATGCACTTTCTAAATAGATTACCACTTGTCTCTGATAAGTTGATGAGAATCAAGTGAAATCACGTTCATTCACTGGATAAAAGAACACTAATGCACTGTGCATTAGAACAATTGGGTTAAATCAGTAAGTCAGGAATTGGGAATGCATCCTGAAACACTGCCTCTGCATTGATAGAAGTTTGTGACAAGTTACTAGTTTGTAACAAGTTTCTTTATACTTTAGTACAATCATTTCCATAACCACCTATGTGGTTTTGGTTATTATTATCACCAGTGGTATAGTCCTGATATAAAATAAATGCGGTGTGGGGGATGCAGTCTGTTGTAGTGGGACTAATATAAATGAACAGGTGTGTTAACCAGTACTCTTGGTCTTAGCTGTCGGTAACTCATTTATATGTTGTCCTGTTACTCCCTATTTTACCTAGAAGTCATATCCTTCCTTCTAAATTCTCCCTTACACCTAAAATTAATTAAACACTCATCTACTTATTAAAAAGCGAAGAGTTGAAATTGTATAGGAAAACTGGTGATGACTACATCCTATAGAAATTCAGATGTTTGAATGGAATTAAAAGGATACTAGTATCACCTGTTTCCCCAGTCTGCTCCACATAATGATTAATTAACATCATGTTTCAGGTACTTTCATTTTTAATCAAATGCAAATTTGTTACTGAATCCTTGCTAAAAAGCATAACCATAGTTATTAGTCACTTGGTTTAGTCATGTGTTTGGATCTTGATTTATTTTCTTGTCATATTAATGATTTCCCAAACCACCCCAAAAGCCTTTATGGTTTAACTTTCATCAGAAAATGTATGCCCCTATAATTTGATATTTTCACACTCTTCAAAGATTTTCGATCTTCACCTTTATTGAACAATTAAGAAACTGTGAATGAGGAAGTTCCCAGTCCTAGATGTTTCCTTCATGTGAGAACAGGTCTTCTGTGACTGAATGTCACCTCCTTTTTTTCTTTTTGCTGTTCTTATTATGCATCACCTGCACAGTGTGATTCAGCCGGGCTGTTTTGCATAAATTTTGTCTTTGTACCTACTGTGTAAATAATCTGTATGCCATATTGTCACTTGGGTTAAATCTGCAAGAAAAAAAATATGCCCCTTTGACAATAAGCCACTTTTCCCCTTCATTACTGTTCTCAGTAATATCACAGATTAGTGTTCCTGCAATATCTAAATGTGAATGTAAATGTACTCTAGTATTAACAGTATAAGTTGATATTAAGAAATCTGAGCAGTATAAGTTGATATTAAGGGACTTGGTAAAAACATTTTTGTAGCTATCATCTCTGTCTTGAGTTTTCAGTTAAAAATAGACAAAGAATTTATGTGGATGTTACATTAATAGACTATCAACAAAGTAATTGTGGTTACTAATAATTACATATTCATGTGTTGAATCAAACTAAAAGATTAGAGTTGCCAGTACTAAGTTTCTTTCAGATTCCAGTAATCTAGACATACTTCTACTTGTCGGAGACTCTTTACTCCCCAATCACAGATTATTGGGGGGGGCAGAACAGGCAGGGTCTCAAGGTGGGAGCAGCTTCTGCAAGCCAAGATTCCTAAAAGGGGAGGAAGGGGAAAAGGGGAGTGGATGCGAGTGCGAGGAAGACAGGGGAGTCGGAGTTGGGTGTAAGTCTTCCTGTTCTGCTCTTAGCAGAAGTTTATTTTATACATTAGGAGCAAGCAGTGTGATGACATCAGCACATGAACTGGGCTGAGAGATTACAATCTTTTTTTTTTTTCTAAGAACAGTTTAGGGTCACATTGCCCTTTAGCTGAGATATAACATTCATTATTCTTAAAATCAATCTTTTAAAGTTAAGATAGATACATAAATTCTTAAAATTTAAGGCTAACATTGTTATATTTACCACAGTGTTTACTGGCTAAAATAAAGTCCCTTTAAACCTTAAATGCTACTTAAATGCTCATTCTCTTTGAGACATCCTAGAGGGTAAAGTAAAGTTGAAGACTAGGGTGGAAACTGGGCTGGAGATGTGAAGGGGATAAGGTGAGGTAGCGGGCCAAGGAGAAGTTGTGAAAGAGGGTAAAGTCAAAGACTAGGCTGGAGGGATTTTCTGGTAGATAAATCACTAAGGGAGATAGTAAGATTTGTCATAAAGACTGAGCAATAAAAGCTTAAGAAAGAGAGTAGAGTGATAAGATTTGGGTTCTGGTCCGGGCAGTAAAAGAACTTTAATTATTTTTTAGCATGTTCTAGTACTGCCAGAATATTGATTTTGTTATAATTGTTTTTATTAATCAGCCAGTTGTAATATTATTTTTTGCTTTCTAGAGGAATTTTCTGCCTTGGGCAGCGCTTGCTCACCTGAGCCAGGCAGCGCCTTATGAGGCTAAGGCAATCCGGTTGTAAGCTGATGGTTGCTTAGAATATTTTGATATTACAAAAAAGGGAGGTCATAACATAAGTTAGCATGGAAATTTTGATTTTTCAGAGCACTTCCGTCTCTATCCGGAATATGTCAGTCGATAAAGGTTGCATAGCTTGTGCCATCTACTCTTTCTGCCTTTGGTATTTAATTACTGTTTCAATTTTGGGCATTTGGATAGATTGGAATGAGCATTCCCTCTGCTCTCCCATAAAATTTATGTTTTTTTGGACATCTCTGTACTTGAAGATGATACATATTTGAGTTCTTACAACAATATGATGAAGGCAGATTACAATGACTAGAAAGGATTGGATGGAAGCAACTTCAGATATTTTTAAGACTTTGTTGAGGTTTACTGGTTATTTTTATATTTGAAAAGAAATTTAGCATGGATGTAGCTGACATGTTTTGCTTGTTAGTTTGATTAAAATAGAGAAAAGTAACTGACAGTTGTTGGACAGGGACTCTTGAAAGTAAACGAATATCAAATTTATTCTTTCTTAGTTGTTTTACAATGTTCAGAGATACCAGCATTGACTAAAATGAGACAAAAATCCTCTCTCAGTGCTTACATTTTAGTGAGATGAGATAAAGTGTGGCACTTGGTATCCTTGGGGCATGCTTGTCTTTATCAGTCTGCCTTGGCTTTACTACACATAAGTCCATCAATTTCCTTCTGTTTTGTAATGAATTGTGTATTTCATCTTAAACTGAGTAGTGCTCCATTGTGTGAATACCATAGCTTCTGCAGCCAGTCCTTTAATCACTGGCCAGTTAGATCGTTTCTCTGCAATCTGAGATACATAAAAGATTGTTATCATTTTGGGTTTTTTTAGGTATGTCTACTTTTGGACACTTTTTATATTAGTTTCCTTTTTTTTGTCTTGTGTTACTTGTATTGATTTTTTTATTTTTTTTCTGCTGATTTTTGTTTGAAGGTGCTGCTGAAAAGTATGATGGACTATTTTTATATCCTGTTTGATGGTTTGATCTCAAATGAATTCTAATAGGTTACATTTTTACTCTCCTCTTCCACATTGTATAATTTAAGCATCTGTTACTTCCATATTGTTGCTTTCTACTGATTCCTTTAACATTTCTTTCATATCTGTCTTAGAGTTGCTATAGTCACTTAATTTTTTTTTTCAGTGAAGCACCTTTCTTTTCCTTAATTCCTGAACGATAGTTCTTAAAAAACAAAGTATTCTAGATTGGAAATCTTTTTTCTCTGACTCACAATATGTTCTGCTATTTCCTTCTTGCCTATAAAGTTTCCATTGAAAAATTAATAGTCTAATCAGTCTTTGCCATAGGTTACTCTTCTTTCTCTTGATGCTTTTAGTATTCTTTCCTTGCCATTAGCTTTCTGTAGTTTAATACTAATGTGTCTTGGTGTGTGTCAGTCTGATATTTTGTTTGGAACTCTTTGGGCCTTTTGAATCAGGCTGATATGGTTTATCAGCAATTTTTTTTTAAAGATTTATTTGTTTTATTCATACAGAACTGGGGCACAGGCCAGAGATGTGGAGGGTGAGAAGATTCACCAGGGACAGAGTGGGGAGCAGAACAGGCAGATTGACTAAGTACACTGCTGAGAGGAGCAGCCTGTGGGTCAGGAGAGGTCTGCCTCGCCATGTGGATCTCCTCCAGGGCAGGCGGGGATAGATACCAGGCGGAAATGGCTTAAGCCTCCCTGCGCAGTGCTCTAACCCGCTGCGCCACCAGGGAGGGCCCTTAGTGCAGTGCTTTAACCCTCTGTGCCACCAGGGAGGGCCCTCAACAATTATTTTTTTTAAGTAAATTTTCTGTGCATTTTTCTTTTTCTTCTGTAACCCCCATGATATGTTAGTTCTCTTTGTTCTGTTTGTGTATTCTCTGCCATTGTATTTTCAGACTCACTAAATCTACTTATTACTTGTACTTGTCTACTATTGAGGACCTGTATTATATTTTTAATTCATTTATAGTGTGTTTTAAATATATTAGTTCTTGTAACAGTCACATTTTTTCTCAATTTTTATTTGATCCTGTTTTTCTTCATTGTTTTTCTTAATTCAGGAAGCATGACACTTGTAACTCTTTCCTGAAACTCCTCAGACATATTCTATGGCAGTGCTGGACTGCTTCTCTTAGGGTGTATTTGCTCCATTATTTGTGAATGATGTTCTGCTGTCTCTTCATTTTTAATTTTTATCATATTTAAACAGGAATTTCCTTATCTTAATAAAGTGGCTTTATACCTCTCTTAAAAGATGAATATAATCTTACTTTTTTTTTTTAAAGATTTATTTATTTGTGCATGCAGAACTGGGGTACAGGCCAGAGGCTCAGGGGCGGCGAGAGGTTTCACCATAGACAGAGTGGGGAGCAGAACAGGCAGATAGACAAAGTACACTGCTGAGGGTAGCAGTGGGCAGGTCAGGAGAGGTCTGCTTGCCATGTGGTCACCTCCGGGGCAGGCAGGGATCGAACTCATGCAAAAGTGGCTTTAGCTTTTTAGTGCTGTGCTTTAACCCGCTGCGCCACCAGGAAGGGCCCATCTTACTTTTTTTTTTTAAGATTTATTTATTTATGCATACAGAGCTGGGGTACAGGCCAGAGGTGCAGGGGTGGTGAGAAGATTCACCAGAGACAGAGTGCGGAGCAGAACAGGCAGAACGATGAAGTACAGTGCTGAGAGGAGCAGCGGGCGGGTCAGGAGAGGTCTGCCACGCCATGTGGTCACCTCCAGGGCAGGCAGGGATCAAACTCTTGGGGAAGTGGCTTAAACTTCTCAGTGTTGTGCTTTAACCCACTGCGCCACCAGGGAGGGCCCATTACTTTTTTTTTTTTAATCCAGGAACTTTAGACCAGTGCCTTTGCACTAGTTCAAATGATTGCAGTACTGGTGCTGGTAAGAAGGGGATACTAAGGCACTGAAAGATCACCTCCATTGATCACCAAGTAGTCAAGATTCCTACAGTGTTGTAGTTGTCTGAATTCTGTGTGGGAGATCCATTGTAATCCCCTCCTTGGCCAGAATGTCTCAGTCATATGCCAGTCAACCACTAGACTATGGTTGGGCAATTGATACAGCCCTGGGTGAGGACTAGTATTAATATTCTTAATTAAATTCCTGGGCACAGATAGGAATTTTCTCTTTGCCTTTGAAAATGGAGCCTTACTCTTGGGTCCTTACTACTGTTATGAAGATCCATATGCCTCCAACTCAGGTTATTGTGTTGATTTTGGCTCTTAGCAGTGGTAAGACAGGTTTCTGGTATACTATGGCTTCTTAGTAGTTTCTTCTATGAGGAGACACTTACATTATCCTTGATCACCAAACATGCTATTTGACTTTTCCCTCTGGGTTGGGCATCGCTGTTCTAGTTTGGAATGGTTAGGCTCACGCAGTAATTATCACTGTGTACCAGTAAGGTATAGTTTTCCAGTGGTACACCCTCTGTCCTCATGACAACTCCTTGTACCCCCCTTCTCCAGAGTAATCCCCAGTTTTTAAAGTCCATGATTTGTGTGTATGTGCCTTTTTGTTTCTTTGTTGTGTTATACCTCTTTTTATACAATGTTACATGTAGGAGGTGGGCTTCTGTTAGAGATTAACTTGGCAGACATTAGTGTGTTGATAAATTTGAAAGACTTGAGACTGAATGAGATCACCGAGGAAGTGAATGGGGAAAAGGGCCAAGGAAGGGATCGTGGAGACACTCTAAGCTTATATGGTGGGAAGATTCTTTTTTTTTTTTTTTCATTTTCTTATTTTATAAATATATTTTTTACATTATTCTTCATTTTGTACATTTTTTCATCTCAGTTGTAATCCCATGGACTTCCCACCACCACTTCACCCATGAGCCATAATATAGTACCATATGCTCTTCCTACCCCAGTTTTGATCTTGTTCCCCACTCCTCCTTGTAGAATGTTTCTGGTTTATAGTTGTTAGTCGATGTTCTGTTTTACTTTATTACTATATTTATTTATTTATTTAATTTTTCCACCTGATCCCACTGCTCTGAGTGAAACTATCCAGTATTTTTCTTTTTCTTTCTGCCTTATTTCACTAAGTATGATCTTTTCCAGTTCCATCCATGTTGCTACAAATGGCATGTCTATCTTTTTAATTGCTGAGTAATATTCCATTGCAAATATATACCACCTCTTCTTGATCCAGTCATCTATTTTGGGGCATTTGGGTTGACTTCTTTATTGTAAATAGACTTTATTGTAAATAGACTTGGAAGGTTCTAAAAAGACAGAGTCTTAAGAGTTAAAATTGGAAAGAAGGGATCAAGTTGACTGTAGAAGCCAAGGGGAAAAGGAGGAGTGTGACTAGCTATATCAAATGCTATAGTATACAGTGAGGCCTGATAATTAACTTTTGGATTTAATAATGCAGAGACCATGCTAACTTGGTTAAAAGTAGTTGTTTAAAATTGATGGAGTTGAAAGCTTTTTGGGATATGTTCAACAATGAACGAGAGGAGGGAAGTTGAAGGTAGTGATTCTATCAATAGATCACTCCTATGAGGAGTTTTGCTGTATGGGGAGCAAAAATGCACAGTAGTAGGTGAGAAAGACATAGGCTCAACAGAGTTTTTGTCTTCTGGAGACAAGAAATTATTATATATTTGGATGCTGGAAAAAGTATAATTAGGAAAAATGATTCATGAAAGAGGAGAGAAAAATATAATAGGTAGGAAGAAGGAATGTTATTTTTTGCATAAGGACTACACTGACTTTAGATAGAAAGATAGGAGTAGGAACAATTGATTAGCTATGTTGATGGAAGCTGGTTAAAAGTCTCTACAGTTTGTTTCCTTTGGTGAAAAGAGAAACCAAGTTGTTAGCAGAGAGTAAGGACAGGGTAAGTAGTGTCAGATTTGAGAAAAGAAAATTTGAAATAATTGAACTTCTAAGTTCAACTTTGAGGAAACTGAGTAGTAGAGTCCTGCGATCGTTGGTCTGATGTCTAGGCTCCTTCGTGAATGGTCTGGGGAAGTGTCCAATGTTTTCCAAGACCCAATTTGTTAGTTTTTCCATAGCTCATCCTTTAGAATATTTTGCAAATTAATTATTGTACATCTTCTAATTGAAGACACTGACATATGGAACATTTTTTGAATCTTACTCCTTCCTCCCCCATCCCAAATTTTTTTTCCATGTTAATTTTTCCAACCTTTATTGGGCACCTACTGTGTTTGCTCTGCCCTGTGTTGGTAACAATAGAGAAGGGAATTGAATCTGTTTTTGTTGTTAAGGAGCCTGCTTAATTTCATTTAGGAGGATTTTGATGGTTTGTGTTCTTAAGTTGATAGATTAGGTGTCAGAAAATACGGAATTTTTCTCTGCTCCCATGTTAGCTGCCCTCAGTTTCCTTGGTGCTGTGGAATCTAATGCTTTCTTTGTTTATTTGTCTTATATGTCTTTATCTTCTTTCTAATCCCTATCTTTGATGTTTAAGAGAATTTAAAGTTTAAGACAGTATTTATCATCCAAAGTTTTGAAACTGATAGTGAATGGTCTAGTGTAGAGAACTGTTAGAGACCATTAATCAGCTCAAACAGTAGGTACCACTGTAGTCTTCCTAAATTCTCATAGGGATTCTGAGCATTTCAAGTCAGCATTCCCTGAAAAGACTCTATTACAGGTGTTAAACTTGTACTGAAATATAGTGAATTTTTTGAACAGTTTTACTTCAGTTATTTCTAGGAAGGAAATAGTTAATTTGTTCAGAAATTTTGAAAAAAACACATTTTACCTAAAAGAACAGAATACTACTCTGAATCATATATATTGTTATAAGCTAATGTTACTTCAATTAAAATAAAAAAAAAACACCTAGAATTTTCTATATCATTTGGACAATATTGTTTATATGCTTCCTTCTGGACATATCCAGATTTAGGTTAGTTCTGAATAAAAATTTGTTTCTAGAAGGAAAGGTTTCTCATTGGTTGTCTTTCTATAACAGTGATAAGATCTTAGCCTTTCTAAATTTCTCCTTTTCAAATTCAAAATAGTTCCTTTTGTCTTAATTTTCCTCTACTTGTTAAATCGGGCTTCTTGGGACATTTCATGAATGCATTGCAGAAGTATAGAAATTGTCTTTGTGTCTGCGTGATTGATTTGCCCTCAAACAGTGTTTGTTTTTCAAAGCTAAAGCTTTTTGGAAATTATTTATTCATGCCTAAAATAACTTGTCAGTTTTTCAATAATGAGCAAACTAGAGCATTTAACTCTCCATTTGCAAAAGGAAGTGAATGAAAAGAACTTAACAGCATAATTTACAGAACCTCACTTGGGAATTAATATGGATAAAAATTTTATGGAACAAGGCCTTCCAACATTTGACAAAAAATTATCTTTTCTGGTATTTTCCTTCATGTCCTTCTGCATAGTTTCTGATGAAGAACAATCAGTAGTATATGTTCCAGGTATGATTTTCTGTGTTAATTTTTAACTTTTCTTAGCTTCTTGAATATTGGGAGAATATGAAACCTTAGGACAACTTTGCAGGATTAAGGACAGTTGATCAGAACCTAATTTTTTTAAAAACCAGTTGGTGTGTTTAAAATCCTGCCTTAATTTAGGGCTTAGTTGAGCAAGTTAGTTTTTTGAACTTGTAGAGTATTTCACTTATGTATTAAGAAGCAAGAAATTCCTATCTTTTACATTACAAATAATAGTCTAAATGTAATATTTTAAAGAAAAGTATAAAAATTTCTTGACAGAGTAAGTTTGATATAGTAGACTCCTTAAGCTTACTTGTTAATACTTAGATGAATAGCAAAACTGAACAGTTTTAAGAACCCTAATGATGTGACCATCAGATTAATTTTCCCTATATTGCAGTAGGTATCACATGCTATATTGCAGTATGTATCACATGCTATAATTTATTGGCTTTAATGTGACTCATGAACATTCACCTTTTAAAACTATTTTAATTAGATCCTTCAAAACACTATTTATTCAAAACACTATTTCCTCATGTTGCATTACTTATTGAGAACTTTAAATGAAGTTTATAACTTATGAGTGTCCTCTATTTGGTCCTGTTAAGTCGAGGATATTAAGGAGGAAATTGATGGGAGGAGGAATTAAGAGAATGAGAAGTTATAATTTGAAATCTTCTTTGATGGCATATCCTTAGGAACTTCTACAGAAGAGAATATCAGATCAAGACACAAGTTGCTAAGTCCAAAAGCTAATGTTAAACTTAAGACTTCCAGGGTGAATGCAGCCTCAGTGTCCATGGACTCTTTAAAAGGTGCAGGAGATGCGATAGATGAACGGGTCAGTACTTTTCTTTTTTTTTTAATTTTCTTTCTTAATTTACAATCTTTGTAAATGTTTACCAGTAGCTAATTTTCTTTAATTCTTCAGTAAGTGTCCTTGAAAGAACATTAGATGATCTACAAGGGTTATAAAAGATATAGAGGATTCTAGGCTACTTTGAATAATAACTGCTATGATTATAAAATATCTAGATTACTAACAATTTGCTTCAAAATATCTGTGGTGGTTTAATGTATTAGTTAAGAAAAGGTTGCTAACGTGGTTTTAAAAAAAAAGCTATGTCTGGATCTGTGTAGAGTTAGTAAATCAAATTTACAACAATTGTGATTTTTGTTCATCTGAAATTTCCTTATGTATAAGAAAGATGGTTTAAAAGTAATTTAGTCTGGATTATTATTGTTTTTCTTTCATTTGGAAATTACCATATAATGTATGGTAATTTTTAAGACTTTATAAACCAATCATTGATTTCTCCCTTACCTTTACCTCTTCTAATGAATTGTAATTAATAGTAATAATTCATACTTCCTTTGTAACATTAGCATCTATACAATCCTTTGACCTAATTCTAGCTAAAGAGCTTATTTCACTTTACTTTTATTATATTTTGTTTTCTCCACCAGAGTTCAAGTTAGGGTTTGATAGTCTGTCAGGTCTGGGTAGAATATATTTGCTGCCTTTTTTGTAAATAAAGTTTTGTTGTAAACTCTATGTTGGGAGTAACTCCCATTCTGCCATTATCTCATTTCCTAGCAACCTCTAAGTACTTTTCAGTCTCTTAAATTTGTTCTGGATATTCTGTATAAATAGAATCACCGAAAATATAGTATTCTGTCTATTCAGATATTTTTCAATTGGGTTACCTTATTGTTGAGTTTTAAGAGTTCTTTTATAAATTTTATAAGTTTATGTACATGTTCCCTATATATACTGCAAGTATATTCTCCCATTCTTTGCATTGGCTTTTTATAATCTTGTTGGTATCCTTTGAGGTACAAAGATTTTTAGAAGTTGTTTATTTTCTTTCTTTTGTTGTCTGCATTTTGCAGTTAAACCTATGAAATGATTGCCTAATACAAGGCCACAAAGATTCACAACAGTATTTCCTCCTAAGACTTTTATAGTTAGTTATGTAATCCATTTTTATTTATTTTTTGTACATGGTGTGGGAGTGATGCATCTTCATTTATTTGTATGTGGATTTACAGTATCCCAATATCACTGGTTGAAAACTATTTCCCCCTTTGATTATCATGGTACCCTTGTTAAAAATCTGTTGACCTTAAATGTAAGCATTTATTTGTGGGCTTTAAATTCTTTCTCACTCAACAAAATTTCCCTTTTTATACCAATAATGCTGTATTTTCATTATTAGAACTTTGCAGTAAGTTTTGTAATCAAGAAGTGTAAATCTTCCAACTTTTTCCTACTCTAATGTCTTTGCTTTTCATAGGGAATATACAATTGGCTTGTCAAATTATGCACAAAGGTCTTTGGGATTTTGATAGTGATTGAATTGAATATTTAGATAAATTTAGAGAGTATGCTCAACTTAATAATACTAAATATTCCAATTATTGAATATGGATGTGAGATGTCTTTCATTTCATTTCATTTCATTTAATGCAGTTTTCAGTGTACATATCTTATGTAACACCTTATGTTAAATTTATTTCTAAATATTAAGTAGTTTATATTTTTGATGCTATTGCAAATAGATTTTCCCCCTTAATTTTACTTTTGGTTTGTTTACAGCTAGTGTATAAACATGCGGTTGATTTTGCCACTTGTATCCTGCAATCTTCCTAGATTCATTTATTCTAATCTATTAGGTTTGTGTGTGTGTGTATGTGAATGCCTTATAGCTTTTTTTTTTTTAATTTATTTATACATACAGAACTGGGGTACAGGTCAGAGGTGCAGGGGTGGTGAGAGGATTCACCAGAGAGAGTGGGGAGCAGAACAAGCAGACTGACAAGTACACTGCTGAGGGAAGCAGCGGGCGGATCTGCCGCTCCATGTGAATCACTTCCGCGCCTGGGATCAAACTCATGCTGGAGTGGCTTGAGTTTCTTAGTGCTGTGCTTTCACCCACTAAGCCGCCAGGGAGGGCCCCCCTCCTCATAGCTTTTTATCCGTAGGATCATGCCATCTCAAAATAGAGGTAATTTTACATTACCCTTTCCAATTTGGATTTCTTTTATTTCAGTTGTATTTCAATTGTCTAAAGACCTTTGCATTTTAAATATTTTCCTCTTGCTTAATATATTTACTTTCACAATTTTATATTTCAGGCATATTGGAAATATTTTTGTTGTTGTTTTTTGGTTTTTATGGCTGTAGAGTGTATTTCATTTTTCGAATGTATTTTTAGTGGTTATGAAATTCTGAGTTGATAGTTTCAGTTTTCCAATATTACTGTGGAGCTCTTGCATTATTTTTGAAAAGAAATGTAATGGCATCCTTTATTTTCATTCCTTTGTATTTAGTATGTATGAATTTAAACTGGCTACTTCTCAAATTTTCCTTTTATCAGTAGTTTTGATTATGGTATGCCTTGAACTAGTTCTCTAAATGTCCCTTAGTTAAGATTTGCCAAACTTTCTGCACCTCTGAATTAATAATTTTCATCAGCTTGGGAAATTTTTCAGTCACTATGTCATCATGTCTTCAGATGCTTTTTTAACTTCTCCAACTTCTCTTTTGAGAACTCTAGTTATACAAATATTAGGCAACTTGCACATTCACTTTTCTGATACTGTTATTTTTTCATTACTGTTTTTTGTTGGTGGTGGCCTACTGTCTGTAGATACTTTGCATTGCGGTGTCTTCAAATTCATTAATTATCTGTTTTGTCTGATCTGCCACTTATCTCTCCCAGTATATTGTTCATGTAAGACAACCTAATTTTTTCTCTCTGCAAGTTCATTTTGTGTGTTTTGTTTTTATTTATGAATTCCACATCTATACTAAACAAACTCTGCCTTCCTTCTAGCTTCACAAACATAGGGAATATAGTTTTAAAAGCTGTCTTAATATTATTTATAATTCTATCACCTAGGTAGATTTCAGTTATGTAATTTTATGTAGATTATGGGTAGATTTTGATTATGTAATTTTTCTTCTAGCTATGGATTGTATTTTTTACTTCTTTGCCTGCCTGCTTGTTTTTTATTGGGTGGCACAGGTAGTATGGATTTTAATCTTTTTTTGAGTGCTGTATGTTTCTTAATCTCTAGAAACTGATATATTTTTTAAAATATTGCATTATATGTAAGGAGTTTTATTCTTTTAAAGCTTGGTTTTACGCTTTAAAAGGTGACATTAGAGAAGCCTTTAGTATAGGGTTATTTTTGCCCACCATAGGCAATATTCTTCTAAATAACCTGTCTGATGACCCTTGAATTGCCAGGTTTTCCACTCAGACTAGTGGCAATATAGGCCATTCATGACAGTGTTTTAGCTACAGAGAATACCTCCGGAGTTCATTTTGGGATTTTGTGTAGTTCTTTGTTTTGCTTGGATTTTCTCATGATCACATGGTGATCACCGTGACTTGTTGACTTGTAGGACACCTGTAGATCTGTAGAAATTTTTCCCTGTGCAGTGCTTTCATATCTATTCTCTGCCCCACAAACATTAAACCTTGGCTTTTCTGAACTTGTAGGTCTGTCATCTCTACTTGGGTTGCTGAACTCCATCTGGGTGTCCAGCCTGGTAACCTGAAAACTCTCTTCATGTTATCATGTTATCTGTTTAGTTAGTTTCTCAGTGTCTTCTGTTAGGTATATGTTTCTGTGACATCCACCAAGGGAAAGTTGTGTCTTTAATATTCCCTAATGTTAAAACAGAGACATTCTGATCTTGAAGTCTTTTTTTTTTTTTTTGTGCTCTTCACTGTAAATTTCACAATGTACTCATGGTGGAGAGTCAGCTTCTTATTCTGGTTTTTGTTTGTTTGTTTTTAAAAGAACACTTTAAAAGGACAGGTTTATCAGGAAAAGGAGAAAGAAAAGAAAAGCACCTGTAAAACAAAAGAGAGATACAGACAGGAATGAGGGCTGCTCTTTCTTTAGTCTGTTCAGAATACACAGTAGGTTCAATAGAACAGGTAAATAGTGCCTCACCACATAAAGTATAGAACTAAAATATTAAACCTTATTTTAAGAGGTTTCTCCAAAAGTATTAAACATTTGCTTTTAGCAATGGTTGTTTTTTGTTTTAACAGAATTTCTGCAGAGGTGGAATAAAAAGTGCATCATTGAAGGATTTATGTCTGGAAGACAAAAGACGGATAGCAAACTTAATTAAAGAACTGGCCAGGTGAGACAAGTGCTTCTAAACGCATTATTTTGTAAGAGAGGCAACTGTTTTGTTTTGTTTTGTTTTTTTAATAAAAAGATATAAATATGTTTTGATGTTACTGGTCTTATTGGGAAAAAGATTTTTAGAAAAAATATATTCAGTGGCACCAAAACAATCAGAAGTAGAAATTAAAGTTAAAAAAGAACTAAACACTTGGACAAACTATTCTGCAATGTAAATTTTCTTATTTACTTGATTTCCAAAATTCTTTAATGCAAACTTTTATTATTGTTTTATCAAGAGGGAGATTTTTTAAAAAAGATTTATTTATCCATACAGAACTGGGGTCAGGCCAGAGTTACAGGGGCGGTGAGAGGATTCATCTAAGACAGAGTGGGGAACAGAACAGGCAGATCAATGAAGTACACTGCTGAGAGGAGCAATGGGCAGGTCAGGAAAGATTTGCCATGCCAAGCGGGTCCTCCCTGGCCAGGGATTGAACTTGTGCTGAAGTGGCTGTGGTTAGCGTGCTGTGCTTTAAACCATTGTGCCACCAGAGTGGGCCTCAAGAGGGAAAATTTTGAAATTTAGCGCTACCACTGATACAGGTTAATTTGTTTGTAGAGTCAGTCCAGTTACATTTGTTTTTGATTTAACATCTGCACAGAAAAGAACATTCATTTATTTAGTATATAACAAGAGTATCTATTGTAATTTTGCAAATTCCTGATGCTTTCAAGTTAATCATTTTGAATTTTGAAAATGATAGTTGTTAGCTGCTGTTTGTACTATTTCCATTTATTAGTCATGTATGTCTGATATACTGACATAGCTATTATACATGTGCTATATATAATATACATTATACATAGCTGTTTTGTATGTATAATTTCTTTGTTAACATACATGTCCAATTTGGGGGTCTTAATACCTGGTAAATAAAGATTTTTATAGAGAATGTAATGATATAGCTTGTAAAAGTTAATTTTGTGAAAGGTCATAGCCAATAGTTGATAAAATATTATTATTAGTTTTTATTGTTGAATTACATATTGGGAAATAGTAAGCTTTTTTAAATTTCTAATTAAAGATAACTATGTAAAGTGTGTTTCAAGTATATTTCATGTTTGGTCCTCAAAATGTTTGTAGCGACTTTTATAAAATGACTCAAATTTTCAAATTACCTTACTAAATCATAGAATCACAGTATAAAGTATGGTATAAAGCAGTAATGTTCTGAGGGCTGGAAAACAGGTTATGAGAGTTCAAAGTACAACTTTTCCTTAATCTGAATTATATATCACCTAAGATAAGCAGTAACCTTTTTCACTAGAATTCATTGGCTCTTCTAGTTCCTGAAATAGAGTTTTCACTGAACTTCTGGATTTAATGATTATGCTCAGTATTTAAAAATACGGTCTTCTCAAAATCTGTTTACTAACAACTATGGATAGCCTTCTCATTTGTTTGATGGCATTGCAGAACTGTTACTGTTATTCCTTATATTAATTAGTCATTAATTGTCCTGATTAATGTTTTTTATTTCAGAGGCTAGGCTTAAAGAATACCTAAAGTATTAGAGCATATTGTTTTGGTGTCAGTAATTTTCTGCTTTGTAACAAATGCTAGTTCCTTGTAATTTCTTGCTAATGGGTCAATGTGTTAGTAACTAAGGCTTGTATTTGTACAGATTTTGCTTAAGCCATGTATATAGACTATATATATACATGTATATAGAAATGATGTGTTCTTGGTTTTGTGGATTTCACTAAATTTTTTTCTGATGCACATTTCAGTCTGCTTTTTTTCTACTCATCTTGTGAAGCCCTTCCTTGCCACCCCCTTTTTCTCTGCTTAACTGAGACTCAGTTTCATTGAACTGAGGAATTTGAAAACAAAATTTCATATACCTCAAACAGTGACCAAAAAATTCCTAGCCTTTGTTCTTTTACTTCTCCTGAATTTTCAACCTACTTTCAAATAAGTGATTTCCCTTTGGCATTAAAGTCACTTCTTTTTCTTTCATCTTGAGAAATAAAAGACTCCTTTGAGCATCTATTATCCTCTAGCTACCACCTTCTATGTATTCTACAACATATTCTCTTTCCTAAAAGGAGAAGTCTATAATGTTACGGACTCTATAACTTTCTATTCTCTTGCATTCATTTCCTACTTAAACTTATTTATCAATACTTTAAAATATATCGAGTACAGTTTACATATATTTTAAGTGTATACTTCATTGAATTTTGACAAATGTAAGGTCACTTCAAAAAGTTATCTTGAGACCTTTTACAGTTAGTTCCTCCTCTCTTCTTCACCCCAACCATGTGATTTCTGTCATTGCAGTTTAATTGTACATGTTTTGACATGCAATATAAATGGCTATCAGTACATGCTCTCTTCTGTCTGGTGCTTTTTATCATGCATATCAAAAGTGTAGAGACTTTTTATATGTATGAAAAAATATAAATAACAAAGTTCTCACCATCTTAATCGTTTTTAGTGTACAGTTGAGTTATATAAATAAAGTACATTCATATTACTGTGTAATCATCCTCTGCCATCCATTGTCAGAATTTTTTCATCAGGTAAAGATAATTTAGGCCCAGTTCATTAACAATATATATTCATAGCTCATAGGTTAAATATAACTTGATTGTGAGCAAGAAGTTTTGTGCTTTTTTAACATGGAAACAAAGATAAACACTTGGTATGAGTTTTTAATAAACTGTAGATACCTTTTTAATAATCTGTAGAGGCACAGGGAACTTTGCCATTTCTATTAACTGCACTAATAGAGGAATTGAGTACAAATACAAATCAAAATATAGAAACTAATGGAGAAAAGATACCTCACAGATAAACTTAGAGTATTATGAATTATTTAGGTGTGGAAGAGAGTGCTAAGAGGTGACTTGATATATGAGTTTCAAGTGCATGAAGTGGTTTCCTTGAGGTTTCTAGCATTAATTTACATTTGCAGAAGTATAAGTGGAGTATCGATTGATCTTTCTAGGTGATTTTAGGATAGAGAATTCTTTTTGTTCAGTTCTTTTTGCTGAATTTAGTGACCTCAAAAAGTCTTTTACACTAAAATAAATGAATTGTTCATGAAGATGGGAGAAGCTTTGTCATTTATAGGGACTTGAAAATGAATGACTTTGCAAAATGTTGTAGTTTGTGCTGAAAGATAATGTCACTTCTGTCATATATATATTTGTATTTTTTTCCCCTGAGACTTTAAATTTGGGAGGGGTATTATAGACTAATACACAAACTATGCTATAGTTTAGTCCTTAAAGGAAAAAAAATAATTTGGGCCAGAATTGCCATTTTGATGTATATGAACCATGTTCTATGTAACCAGAATAAAATCTCTACTATTTTATGTACTATAACCATACTGTCAAACAATGCATATTTCCCCAGTGAATACTTCTGTACTAATTCACTTGAGGACAGGGCTCTTTTTAGGCTCAGATACTTTGATTTTCCCCAGAGTATAGTTTGCTGTTTCTATTTGACATTTCTCAGAAGAAAAATAGGAAGTGCAGCACCATTAGTTTCCCACTGTAAAAGAGATCATTAGTACTTTATGTTTATTCTGGGC